ACACACACAGACACACACACACACAGACACACACACACACAGACACACACACACACAGACACACACACACACAGACACACACACACAGACACACACACAGACACACACACACACACAGACACACACACACAGACACACACACACAGAGACACACACACACACACAGACACACACACACACACGTGTGCGTGGCCCTGAGCAGAGGACCAGGCACCTGCCTGCTGGTGACTCTCCTGCCCTACCTGCTGCCTTGTCAAGGCTCCTTACCAAACTCTAGTCCCAGCAAAATGAACGACCCTTAAGGAAGTTATGTATTCATCTGTAGTCAAACCCATAACTTTTCAAATTTATCTTTTGTACATCCATTAATACAACATTTTTATTTTTCAAGATTCTAAAATGCAAGAGTTTAAATTAAGTCTTTAAAGAAAACATTTAACTAAAAATTGGCTTTGAAGCACTCTTGTTCATTTCAAAGAAACACTCAGTACCTGGATGTGCTCTTTTGTGATCAGCCAGGGGCGGTGTGCTAGCAGCTTGTTTATTTCATTAAGATTTTTCAGCCTTTGTGGCACATATTCCAAACCATTCAACCATTCAGCAATACCTCCAGTCTTTAAAAATTCATCCACATGCATGTTTATTAAGTAAGAACACTGATGTCTAGCTGCAGCCTAGGGTATAAAGAAAATAATTCATTGATAAAACAAATGCATTAGTTTCATTCTATTTGTAAATAATTTAGATGGAGTTATTAACATGTGTGTGTGTGCACGTGTATTTGTGCACGTGTGTGTGTGTGTGTGTGTGTGCTGGTCCTGGGGTTTAAACTCATTGCCTGAGCACTGTCCCTGAGCTTTTTTGCTCTAGACTAGCACTCTACCACCTTGAGCCATAGTTAATTGGAGATAAGAGTTTCACAGACTTTCCTGCTCTGGCTGGCTTTGAACTATGATCTTTAGATCTTAGCCTCCTGAGCAGCTGAGGTGATAGGCACGTAATGTCCAGTGTCCAGCATAAGATTTTTTATAAATAATAAATAATAATAAATCTTTTTTAAAAGAAAAACAATCCTCTTTCTTTGAAAATGTTCATTGTATTTCTGCAGTAGGTTTTGAATCATTCATACAGCTGCTGTATGCTTATAGAAACAAATAATTATGACATGAAGCCAATTATTTCTTCCAAAACTTGGTATAAATTAACCCAGAACCCAGTTTATAGTCATTTTATGGAAATACATACTCTATTCACTATGCAAACATATAATTCTCTTTATAGTACAACAGTATCTTATCAGGTTGTACTTCAATAATTCAGAATTCCTGCTAACTTAAGCACTTCTCTTAAATATCTGTCGGATCTCAGCACCCCATGCTACTAGTAGACACTGGCGCTCACGGATTCTTTCCTTCCCACACAGTCAGTTTTGGTGCTGACAGATAGGTAAATGCATGCAGAGCAGACTCCGACCTCTTTTCTTTCATGGCTGCTTCTCAGGAAAGGACCAATGCATCCTCCTTTCTCATCTCTCTATCTGGGCTCTCTCTTGTTTCTGAGCATTCTGTCTTTACCAGCTTTACTGCCATCAAAATATTAAGCTAAAATTATAGTTTTAGTCAAGTTCATCCTTTGAGAAATTCTGCTTGTTGTTCAAATCTTCAGTAAGAATATAGAAAAATAACCAAGGAACATTTCGTAAAAACGACTCTGCTAAATCCGGCTATTCTGGCCAGCTCTTTAGTCACTGTCCCCAGACCCTCCAAACACATCATGTTCTTCATTAGCCAGCCAGCGGCAGCACTATTTCTTTCTACCAGTTCACTCTGGCTGCCTATCATCCCAGTGTAGACTCTCCTCCCCAATTATATGACTTGCGGATAACAATAACTAGGTAGCTTGCCCATAACAAGAGCTACACTTAGAAGTGAAGAATTCTTCTCTTATTCAGAACCTCCACTAGTGATAACTAATTCTTTCTTCTTATTTGACCAAATCAGCAATCATCTTCACGTGTAAGATAAATGTCCACGGAAAATGTCACCAGTAATTTGAGCTTATCAAAGATGAAAAGATAAATCAAGAATAAAAACAGAGCTATGAATTACTATTTGGACCTGGTAGATTAAATGTAGACAATCAGTTTACCAAAACTTAAACGAAACAGTTATCAATGGTGTTGGTGTTCTTCTATTGTGTTTATACACTTCTCTACATGCTCACGGACACGTTGCATTTCAGAGGGGATGGCATCGAACCTACCATGATTGCAATGTAGTGCCTGTGTGGGAGGGGCAGGGTGCCATCCATCCGAAGCATGAGAAACTGGCTCCTCAAGAAGGACTCCAGGTACTGCGCATGCAGACTCATGACCTGTGTGACGTTGTCCAGACGGCCTGACGTGGAGTACTCCTCCACGAGCAAGTGTGTTTGCTCATCCACAGTGTTGGCGTGCACGACCTGAGAACCAAGAAATACAACACAGAGTAAGAACTGTCCCATAAACAGACCCTGATTTACATGAATTTTGTCACTACTGAATGAGGCAAATAAATATTCATTTGATATTAACAGATTCTGAAATTATGCAGTTGCTCTTACTAGAAACAATTTTTTGGCTTTGGTATCATGATTTATTAAACAACAAATGTTAAGTTATCAAACATTAAACACAGTTATAAAACTGAGGGAAAAGCATCTGCTTTCTAGGCATTTGAAGCACATTGTTTTACCAATTGCCTGGCATTGTTGTATCAATCTGTAGTGAGCAAAAGTGGCAGCATGTGATTATATACATTTACATTTGATCTCATGAGCTTGTGAAGATAATCAAATTAGAGTACTTTAGACAAATGTTTTCCTTTGCTTGTTTTTGCCTGTCAATATTCTGGTGTGTGTGTGTGTTCTGGTGTGTGTGTGTGTGTGTGTCTTGGGGCTTGCACTTTTAGCCTGGTCGCTGTCCCTCAGCTCTTCAGCTCAAGGCAAGTGCTCCACCACCTGAGCCACAGTACCACTTCTGGTTTTCTGGTGGTTTATTGACGATAAGAGTCTCACAGGCTGGGCGCCGGTGGCTCACGCCTGTAATCCTAGCTACTCAGGAGGCTGAGATCTGAGGATCGTGGTTCAAACCCAGCCCAGGCAGGAAAGTCCATGAGACACTTATCTCCAATAAACCACCAGAAAATTGGAAGTGGCGCTGTAGCTCAAGTGGTAGAGCACTAGCCTTGAGCTGAAGAGCCGAAGGACAGTGCGCAGACCCAGAGTTCAAGGCCCATAACTGACAAAAAAAAAAAGAGTCTCACAGACTTTCTAGCCCATGCTGGCTTTGAAACACCATCCTCAGGTCTCAGCCTGAGTAGCTAGGATTACAGGTGTGAGCCACTGATGCCTGGCTTCTGTTTTTGGTTTTTGTTTGCTGATATTGGGGATTGAACTTAAGGCCTGGCTCTGTTCTGGAGCCTCTTTGTGCTCAAGGGTAGGTACTCTACCACCTGAGCCAAAGCACCACTGCTGGATTTTTCTTAGTAAGGGTTTCACAGACTTTCCTGCCGGGCTGGCTTCGAACTATGATCCTCAGATCTCAGCCTCTTGAGTAACTAGGATTACAGGCATGAGCCACCAGCGCCTGGCCTTTTCAACATTCTTTAAAGAAGTTTTCTGGAGTCTTTTTAGGGATTAAGAACATGATAATTTAAAAATTAGTAAGGTCACTAGACTACTGTTCTTGTTTTGAGCCTGTTCTATTACTAAAAACAAAACAATCCAGTAGAGTGGACCTCCCTGCCTAGGGAGTGATAAAGCTTATTTATACACAGCTTTATACATAATGACAGTGTGGGCGTCACACTGGGCTGGTTTCGAGGTGAAAGAGCTCATATACTAACAGACAAATAATGTGTAATTCCAGTCCTGGCTCATTATTTATTTGCAGTTTAGAATTATTTCTCTAGACTTAACACAAAGATATGTCAGATTTTGGAGTTAAGACTGAATTCCAGTCCTGTGCCTGGTTAACAGCAGAGTCAGGCTTAGAGCTGTATCTCCTGCAGCCCAGGTGATGGTGAGAAAGCGTTCTCACTTCAGAGAAGGCTCTTTAAAGTTTTTCTGAAAAAAAAAAATTACACAAAGGTACTGTTGACTGAGAGAAATTTAATCTTAAAAGGTAAGTTGTAAGGCATAAATTGTAAAGAAACGTTAATTATAGCTGTTTAGGAAAAGGAGATGATTTCACTTTAGTTCATTATGTGTTATCCATTCTATCATCTTCAGAAATCAAGATGGTAGTTTAAAAAATATAATATAATCCAGAGAGTGTCTGTTAGTTTCATTTGCTTTGCCTTAGCGGAAGTTCTTTGTCTAAATGGAACCTTCGCAGTAGCAATAGATTTGTAGGTGCTACATGAACCGAGAAAGCATCTTGGGGTCTTCTGTATGAGTCCAGCCATCTACGAGCGGAGCCGTCCGTGAGCTGCAGCGGAGATGGGGCCAAAGCATGCCACTGTGCCACGTCAGGGCCTCCTCCGCAGCCGCTGTGGTCCGGAGGGTTGTCACTCAATGAGAAGGTGGCTAAACCGTGTGAAGATGCGAGGGAGATGACTCTGGCAGGAGCCAGCCCACTCATCCTGGTTCTGCGTTGGCGCCCCACGCCAGCATCCTGAGCACGCCAGAACACCCTCACTAAACATAAGAAGCACTCAAACCTCCAAGGAAGGAGGGAGAGAAACCACCTCCTTGGTTTTCCAACACACGAATAAGAAACCTAAGAGCAACACACAGTTTCACTTACATATGAAAATGTGTGTTGTTCTTTTAAATGGCACTGCACATGTTCAGACAGACACACTTACCTCCTTCTCTGGAATAAAGGCGCTTGGTCCTCTTGTCAAGGGTCGAGATTCTCTGATTCTTTTATCCTATTTTTAAAAGAAAAGTTTTGTATATCAATGATGATTTTGTAAGAAAAGTTACGTAAATTCTTATTCCTAAAGTACTAAAATACATAGGAAAAATAAGTAAATAAACTCTGTGAAACCACAATGAGTTTTGGGTCATTGTGCGGATAAAAGATAAAGGCTAACCTCAGGCTCAGTGCGTTTTTCTGTCACAGTCCACACTGGCACACGGCTCACACCTGCACTACGAACCACAGTGATAAAGTTGAATGTGAGCGCACATGAGTACAGCAGCAGTGTCCTGTTCATGTTCTGGAAGCTAAGGAAAAAGTCACTCAAAAAAAGGATCACATGCCAATTCCTAGAGCAAAGACCTCGCTTGTGGAACTTCTGTGCACAATGGAAGCATATTAATACAAGACTTCTTTACTTTAAAACACATGGAACTTGAAATACAGACTAGTTGAATTTAAGAAATGGAGAAAACGGTAATTCTTACTGTCTACTTGCTATCATATCAGCAGGGCATGTAAGTTTTTAAGATTAAAAAAAACTTGTTTGTTTGTTTTTTAATGTAAGTATTTTAGTACACCCATGTAAGTGTAACTTCACGTAAATCATGCAGTCTCTCTCCAGAATCGCTTCATTCCTCACAGGTGTGTTTAAGGGTAAAGAAGGCCTCTCCTGCTTTGAATTTTTTCTTAGCCAGCAAAGGAAATGGAGGAAATGGCCACTTCACCCACTAAAAAGCAATGTTCCAACGTTCTGAAAAGGAAGCGCTCCAAGAGCTGTCACATAAAAATACAGAGTGTGCGGCGTTTCACGGGGCCATGAAGACCGGGCGGCCTGGGATGCATGTCTGCTGGGAGGGGTACCATGTGTCAGGTGCCACACCCTGCCGAGCCAGCAACTCAGGACAACTTGCCACTTCAATGAACAAGCATTAAAGAATCTGACCGTGAGGAAAAAGTCATTGGTCGGAGGGAAAAATGTCAATAGGGAGAGAAGTAAAAATTTATAAGAAATGTATGGGAGAAAAATACAATCTTCTACATTAAAGGATTTACAGGGCTTTTGTAGATACAGATGGCTCATTACTAATACCATATTTATCAGCTGAATGTACCATTAAGTGTATAAAATGTTTATTCTGAGTAGCCTACAAAAATAATTTCTGGAGTTGGAGACTGAATACATTGCAGTACAAATGAAACTAAGGCTCTGCACTTAAATTAACTAGAAGGTAGCTTAAGTGTTTACCAGCTGACCAGAAAGTAGAAAGGTGCACAGCTCACAGAAGCACGTGATCCGCACAGTGATGGACGAAGAGACCGTTTTGCCATGATCATTTCCCATGCCATTCCCATCTGTTACCCGACGGTTCATTAACATAAATGATGCTAAGACCAACGGCTTTGTGTCAAGAGGTATGGGGTGTATTTTGTGGTAGCTGAGAACTGTGTGAAGATTTCTGAAGGTAGCTGAACTGGGCTGTATCTCTAAACCTCTTGCTGAATACTAACAATATACTAACCAACATATTTAACCTATTTTATTTTTGTCAGCGGAGAAAAATAGCCACGAAACCCACTAACTTCAAAAGTGATACCTGGCAGCCACAAATATGCTGAAGCCTTTTACTGTATGGTTATTTGCAGTAAAATGTTCCTAAGCAGAGGTGTGGGCCAGATCTGGCTTCAACGCCCAGTCTGGGGGCGAGACAGAAGAATCAGGGCAGAGGAGAGTGGAGGTGAGCCTGGCCCGGTGCGCTCAGGGGACAGGGAGCTGGCATCCTTGCTCAGACCGTGTCTCCGTCTGTCCTTCCAAGTGTCAGCCTCCGGAGTGCCAGGGGCCAGATGCAGTGTGCACCACCACCTCTGGACACACACACTTTTCCTGGTGCTCCTGTCATCCTCCCTCCTTCCCTACCACCCATTTTCTTTCTACCTATCTAGTTGGTAAGTTGGAGTTTCTGTCCAACTGTGGTATTTTTCCTCAGCTTTTCATTTAAGTGGAAAAAGCCCAGAAACTGAGGTTCCATTTCCTTCTGTTGTGATTAGTTTTGGGGAAATCTTTAAGCCTCTATGGCTCAACACCGTAGCCACTGGTTACACGGACTGAGTTCATTTCTCAGCCACCCTGCCTACCTGTGTGCTCAGGGTGCTATCGGACATCGCTGTCTTTGGCTTTTTCTTGTGCTTCACTTTTAAAATCGTATCACCAGGCACTTGTTATGCCTTTCTGAAATGGCAAATAACTGCGCTGAAGTTACTAGCTTAATGGTCACTCCAGTTTTAGCGTGACTGCAGAACATGGGGAGAGGAAGGAAAAGGGGGAACAAAATTAGCCGACTCCATGATTCCATGTCTTAATTTCTCACTTTACAGGAAAGAACCAAGGACTATCCTGTCTGTCTGTCTCTTCCACTTCTTCTTTTTTATTATTTTTATTTTTGTCGGTTGTGGGGCTTGAACTCTGGGCCTGGGTACTGTCCCTTAGCTCTTCAGCTCAAGGCTTTGCTCTATCACTTGAGCCACAGCCCGGGCTGGCTTTGAACCGGGATTCTCAGATCTCAGCCTCCTGAGTAGCTGGGATGACAGGCGTGAGCACCGGCGCCCCAACTCACTTCTTCTCTCTTAACAATTAAGTTTCTAACACAGTATTGACTCTGAGCACTCTGTGTAATGGATCTTTTAATGCTTTTTCATCTTGTAGAACAGAAACTTCAACTCAACTTCATGGTGACTCTACTCCCCCTGGCCCGGCGTCTCCTTTTTGCTTTTCATGTAAGCACTCTTCTGATTACAGACCAGACTCTCCCGATACTCCTCACACAACTCAGGTGTTCCTTTCTGTGCAACCCTGCCCTTGCTCCACTTCCCCAGAAGCCATCCAATCCAGTAGCTTTCTTGACAGCTTTCTTAGAGGTCCCTTGCATTTCTTTCTTATAAAATACTCATTTTTTCAAATGAACGTTTTCTCTCAAGGCTGTCAGTTTGTACAAACAAAATCCGGCTGAACAGACAACAGTCACCATATTAGCGGAGAATGGTAGAGCAGATGAGACACACAGGGGCTAGAGATACAAAAACTGTAAGTTACAAACTCCCGAATTTATTGTATCTAAACAAGGACCTATCTCTTCTCTGCCCACAGTCTGCCTCTGGCTCATTTTGGGAACCAACTCCCTCGAATATGAAAACCTTAAAAGAATGCTTACTGCCCAATTTTATAGTTACAATAATCACACTCTGGCTCAGACTCAGCCAAACCCTGTAAATGTCTGTTCTCAATGAAACCTTGTAAATTACTTTTCCAGCCATTGCTCAATCACAAGTTTCTCTCTTGCTGATAAATACTTTCTCTCACAACTGAAAACAGTATTAATCCAGTATTAATGCAGTAGTTTTTCCTAGGTATACACTGTGATGAGGGACAGCATTTGAAATGAAATCACATTAAAGAGTGCTGATACGTTTCTTCCATTTGACAGATATCTGAAGTTGAAGTTACCACTGAGACACTCATTAGCAATTCTTTCCATTTTCCACTATGACTCGTATGTTCTTTGCAATATCGCTAATAAACACATAGTAGTAAATGAAGTAAAATAAAACCATATAGGTGTTAGTAAATAACTTCTAAAGGAAATTTAAAAAATGTCATCTAGGTACTGGTGGCTCACTCCTGTAATCCTAGCTACTCAAGAGGCTGAGATCTGAGGACTGTGGTTCAAAGCCAGCTCTGGCAGAAAAGTCCTTTGTAAGGCTCTTATCTCCAATTAGCCACTCAAAAACCATGGCCCTAAGGCTCAAAGTGGTAGAGCAAAAAGCTAAGGGACAGTGCCCAGGCCCTGAGTTTAAACCCCACAACCAACTAAAAAAAGAAAAAGGTCAATGTCATGAATGTTCTTAACCTTTACAAGCTCCAAACTAACCAAAACATTTTCCATTAATGCTTGCTTATATATTAAGAGAATCTATTTCTTAAAATTAGGTGTATTAGGCCAGTGATTATTTTAAAAAAATAAGAGTAAGAAACACTACCCATATCAATTTATAGGTTGTGTGCACTTAATTTTTCCACAGGTAATCGTAATAAGGCGGCCCCAAGTTCCCCTAGTAATCTTATTTGAATCATGCATTATGAAAGTATATGATTGTCAAGCCCTCCTTTCAAAAGAAATGGACTAAACCAGACTCGAACCTCACACTCTGAACTGTGTCATCGTTCTATGTACCATGAGATTTCCATGGTGTAAAACATCACGTGCTGATTCTCTTACAAATATGCAACCCAGGAAAATGGTACCAGGTTATAGTCACTCACTGACTCAGTATTCACTGTACAATCCTTAAACTCATTCCATAGCAAGTATTCTGAATAATCAACTTTGTTTTTACGTTTTTCAATTTAACTTCTCAGAGGATGTTACTTTCGACTGAAGACTTGCCTTCTCCTCACACCACTCCCCAAGGCCGACACCATGCCTCTGGGAAGCCATCCCCGGCTTATGTGGATACGTGTGGCTCTGGAGTTCAAAGTGGTTTCAAATCCCAGGTCTGCTACTTCCTGAAAGATGACTTTGGGCGGCCAGCTGCAGAAGCCCTTTGAACCCCATCCTTCACTCATAAAACATGGGTTGTGACTTGAAGCATCCTTACGACACCTGAATGCAGTGAGCACAGGCAGAGCTCACACCACACACATTTAGTGGAGGTTGCCATTGTTATTATAAAACATATCTGGGGCTGGGCACTGGTGGCTCACACCTGTAATCCTAGCTTCTTAGGGGGCTGAGATCTGAGGGTTGCAGTTGAAAGCCAGCCTGGGCAAAAAAGTTCCCATGAGACTCTGATCTCCAATTAACCAAAAGAAAACTTGAAATGGAGCTGTGGCTCCAGTGGTAGAGCACTAGCCTTGAGCAAAATGACTAGGGACAGAGCGCAGACCCTGAGTTCAAGCCCCACAACAAAATAAACATATTTTGAAACTTCAGAGTAACTTCAGACTCAGA